ATTAACACAAAGTTTAGTGAAATCTTAGGTCAAAGCTTTTTGCCATGCATGTTCATTGATTATTTAAGCAAAGGCAATGGAATTGTTAGGTCAACACGAATTTTACGGTATAAAAAATGGAGTAGAGTTTGATACTTTCCGCTAAAAGTCCGGTGTAGACTATTTGGTGGGAATTCAACAGAGTTGACGAGAGATTGAAATTCAACTTAAAGGTAGATATCACTCTTTGTAACTTAGATTAATTAAAATTCTCATTACATCCATTCTTGGATTTGTAGAAACATTCTTTTTTCTGGTAGATATTATTTGTGGCGTTCTTCTTTTATTAATTGGAGATTCGAATGCTTGCAGATATTTGTCGATGCATTTCATGACCATTGGGTTCCATTTTGAAGTAGATGATGACTCCATTCCAATCTAGGTTTTATCTTCAACCAAACATTAGTTAGTCCCAACAATCTTTATGGTTGTATAAGCCCATATATAAGCTTCTCAACTTGTTACATTACATCACCTACTACACGTGAAACGCACGCGCCTTCACTAGTCTTATAAAAAGAAGAGAAGGGGGGTGGGGGAATATATATTTTCCCTCCAAATACATGATCCAAAATAAAAGAAAATGCTTGCGATTAAGTTCAGTTATTTTCCAAACAAAAAAGGAAAATTTATTTAATAAAAATATTATAAAATTATTGGATAGTAGGAAACGGTTTTTCTAATGAACTTGACATGATTAATGGTCTGTGATCTTATGAGAGGATAATTACTTTTTCATCTTATGAGATAATAATTACTTTTTCTTTGTGCGAAACTGGAGTTATCTTGTAGATAATTTATGAATGTTAAAACTTTTCTTGATGAAGACAACCGTGGTTGCCACATTTCATTAGACGATAAATATTTATCTCCATAAAAAAAAGGAATTATTAAACAATTAAATTTCCAATAGCATCACAACTCAATCTTTCAAGGTATTAGTAATTCAATAAATCACTCTTTCCAAGATATAAAATTTGGTACAAAATATAAAAAAATATATTAAATATTTGCCTTTGGGTCCTTGTATAGGAATAGCCAAGAGGATTGGGGAAGTTACAAATTATTTTGGAAGAAAATTTTCTTGATTCTCGCTTAATGGGAGCAAATGTAGAGTAAGTTAGGTAATTTTGGGTAAAGATAATGAAGACAATTAAACGGGGATTTTATTTTTTTATTATTATTTTTGCAGCTTAAATTTTTAGGACTTCCATTTTTTTATTACTATTCAACTTGATACATGCAACCCCCATCCTATTCCCCGTCTAATCGAGTAAACGGGACGGGGTTGTTGTCCCGAAGCAAGTACGGGAAACATGGTCCTTGCCCCGTTTAAAGTTAATTTCAAATTTAAATTTTTTATCAAAAAAAAAAAGGATTTATCATCATTTTAAAAAAAACAAACATGAGTTGTTCTTAACAAATTGGAAAAAAAAAATAATATTCACTTACCAAATATCTAAAAAAATAAAAGCAAAAAATAAAATAAATAAATAAATGGGGTAGGGATTGTCTTGTCTCGTCCTGTGTCTACCCAGTCCCACTTTAACCAGGTATGAACACGGGGATAAGTTAACAAAAATACCCGTCCCCTGCCCTATACCCACATCGTTGTCATCCCTACATATTCACTACATAATGAATTATCACATTCCTTTAAAATATATGACTAGGTTAACGAATTGACTACAACGAATTTAATTCTTAGCAATGACATAACTGAAATTAATTTGCTTCATTTAAAAATTGATACCAAATTCTTTTAGTGAGGTTCTGATGTTGATGTTTACATAACTGTCCGTTAGGCTATTGTAAATTTGAAATATATAAAAGGGCTATATCAATTTAATGGCATATAAAGTTTAATTGTGATCAGTCAATTCAATGTAACACTTTACTGTATTGGTACAGTAAATTGTTAGGATTAATTATTGTTAATTTAATTTAATAGAATTCATGTGGGGATCTATTGCATCTTTTATTGTTAGGATTTTCCTTATTTCTTTATTACTTGTCATGCGTTCATTTATCTTCGTCAAACATTGACTAAAATTCATCACACAAAGATACCGTCATGGATTAAGTCCTTATCTGTCTACATGTCACAGGAACAAAAGAAATGAAAAATCTAGCCAAAAAAGTAGAATGATCGTAGTTCAGACTCAATTCATAATGTTTTAATTGTTGTTATCTGTGTAGCTCATACTCAATGAATTATTTGTATAAGTCAATATTCAACTT